GGGCACCGCTGGAGGTTTTGGGCCCCATGAAAGCATATTGTATTGGGCCCCCAACCCGGATCAATCCAATTATGTTCCAAATTTGTTAGGGCCCTGAGTGGCAGGGGCCCTTGGAATCCCCAAATTTATGGAGCCCCCCCGCCGACAGGACACAGTGATGCCAGGTGGGTGACGGCTGCTCTTTGAGGACCTGCTCGTACAGTCACAGAAGGAGCAGTGATAAAAGGGTATGAAATAACCCAATTTAATGCGTGAGAATCCTGCCAGCCAGAGGGTCACACCCTAGATGTGTGTCAGCTGACTCTCGGCGCCCAATCGTGTCATCGCCGAGCGCCAGCCAGAGGGTTTCACACTTTTAACTGCAGTCGAGCTGCCCGAGAACCCCCCCCCATCCATGTTAGCTGGGATAAGGGAGCCCAATTTATAGTGACCCTCAAGGGGGTTCTCAGCCCTGGTCCGCTTAACCAAGACTAAACAAACAAACATGTTTACTTATTTATGCTCTCATCCATCAGTTCATTTGTAATGCTGTCATTGCGTTGCCTGTGTAGCAGTGAGAATAAAGCTGAAATAGCCAGTCCCTTAAATATGGAGGTGGGGTCACCTGGAATGGGAAATGAAGGGGTGTGTGCGACATACGACTTAGCGGCCCAATGTACCCACACCGGATCCGGACAGGTTCGGGGTCCGCTTGGTCGCCATGGTGACAGACAACGAGCAGATGCTAACATTCCATCACGGAGGGAGGCCGGCTCAATCATCCTTCTTTGGCACTGGGGATGACCTGACCCCATCAACCAATCAGGTCAGACAATCCGACGTTCTGAAAAACTGGCCCCCAGCTTCCACCTTTTCTCCGACTCTTCGTCTAAGGTCTGTTTAAGCATTCTTTCCCAATCCGGTCCTCAGGGACCCACAGACAGTCCACATTTTTGCTCCCTCCCAGCTCAAAAGCGTGGACTATCTGTGGGTCCCCGAGGACCGGATTAGGAAACACTGTGTTAACGGATTGCTCGCTTGAATTCACTGTTTTTCTGCTTTGCCACTGGGGCTCTGGATGGAACAGTCTACCTGGCTCTTGCCTGCATGCACAGATCTTTGCAGTGATTGGCTGATTCCAGCAATGCTTTACTTTCCCTGCAGCGCTAAACCCAGAGGGACTAACGTACAGATGGGGTGAATTTCAATACTGTGAACACAAAGACCATACTTGTGGTCCTGACAAGAGCAGTCATGCTAACCTGCCTTCCAAGAATGAACTTGGGGTACAATGAGTCATGGGATTGGTCTCATTTGGCGAAGATGCAACCGATGTATCCCTGATATTTGGGGCGGAGCAAGACCAACATCCAGTGATTTTTACTGTAATCATGAACTTGTGTTCTTAGTATTGGAGCTGGTCATCACAAATGCAAGATGAAGTAAAATAGGTACACAAGTACGGTCAAGTATGCATATAGAGGTTCAGCTATTGACTTGGCGTTATTTCAACACCTTCATTCAGTTCAGAAGTGTTTATATCCACAAAAGTAGAAAAGCGTGGCCAAAGTAATGAACCCACTACCAGCACAATAACAAAACACGACCAGAGATTTTGGAGTCCCAAGTCCGAGGAACCAACCTTCAAGCCGAAGGTCCAACCCAGAACACATCCCACGAGATGAGTAAATAACATCAACACTCATTACTTCTCCTCCTTACTCAGGAGGGGAAGTGAGCAGGAGCGGCACATGGCCGATGAAGGTCACTGGATCAAACCTCAGGGTCGGCAGAGTGGATTCCCCACTGGCCCCGGAGCAAGACCCTTAGCCCCCCCCAGCTGCCCCAGGCCTGTCTGACTGCTTTCTCAAAAATATACGTCGCTTTAGATAGAAGTGTGTGCTAAATAAGCAGAATGTAAATTAAGGGCTGCTTCATTACATGCCCGAGAAATTCAATAAAAGCATCCAGATTCATAGCAACAGCATTTTTAAAAAAAAGAAAGAATTTTCTAGTTAAACTCTTTTTAAACTGCGCCTGGGGCAAAGCCCTGATTTCCTGCCCCCAGCTGACATGGCCTCTGTGGGGTGCAGCTGTTCCGAGTTTAAGCAGCAGGCAAAGCGGGAGGCTGCTCTCGCTGCGGTACGAGCGGGAGCCGCCGGAGCAGACCCTCATCACGCTCATTAAATATTCAAGATGTCCTCCAGCGTCACTCTCCAGCCCCACTTGCCCTTTAGCAATAATTAATCCCGCCTTTCACCTCCCCACCTCCACCAATGGGCTGACAGCTCTGAGCAGGAGGTCGTCTCACATGCATGAACTTCACCTCCAGCCTCCTCACTATAGGGTCAGTGACCAGCCTGCTGTCACTGGGCTTTATTCGCCGTTTTAAAACCAGATGGGAGTAAATGTGTCCCTATTAGCTATTATATTGCATATATGCTTATTTTTACATTTATTATAATAGAAAATAATATTCCCCTTCTGGCACAGATTTGTAACACTGAATTATTATAAGAATCTATTTTTTGGTGAAGATTAATATTGGCCTGACACAGTGTACATACATCGTGTGTGGCTAAACACACACACACACACGCACATCTGTAGACCTGGTGATCCACGTCTCTTGGTCTGCCTCCGTCTGGCCGCTCACTTATCTTGCAGCCAAAAGCCTTCTCCTGACAGGTGGGATAAACTCTGCCCAGGGGGGTCATAGTGCACCCCCCGGCTGGTTAATTCCGGAACCTTCCTGGCCGCAGGTATAGATTAGCGGCAATGGGGCAGGTGCAGCTCGCCTAATCCTGTCAGACGACGTTCGGTGGCGATAAGATGACAAGGTCCCGTCTGTGCTGCATAACGACACAATGACACAATGACAGGTAACCTGTCACCTCCGGGCTGGGGGAGTCCCTCTCAAGCCACAGGCCAGGACAGACGATCCAGCACAGAGCGACTGCAGTACAGCTGTGGGTTTTAATTGGATATGTTCCACCCTTAACCACAGTCGAATACCACGTCTTACATTTTCCATCCTGATTGTTTACTTGTCATGAAACATAAAACTGACCTCTTCATCAACATTATCTTATCTGACCAACTGGCACAGAGTAAGAAAATCATTGCAGCTTTCAATCTAAAAGAGACTGACTAAGAAAATATAGACCTCACCCTACAACATAAGTATGCTGACACATTTTATACCGTGTGGGCCTTCTGGTCACAGAGGATGTGGACTTAAATACCAAAAGACGTTTCCAATGACGGCAGCAACGAAGCCCTTTCATTTGGGACCCTGAAACACGGCAGACTGTCTACAATGAGGAACCAAAGTCATCTTAAACGTAAGGAGGCCGGACTCAACCATGGAGGAGTGGCGGGGGGGTGTGTATTGGAGGTGTGTGCTTCCTCTGGGGGGAGCCTATGGCATGCCAGTGGGGGCAAAGTCAAACTGCAATGGGGGCTCTATTTTTATCCCATTCTTTGGTTCCAGCAGATCTGTACTACAGTCAGTCAGTTCCTTCACTGACCATCCCTGGCTCAGAAGGCCCTGCCCCCCCCATCACTGTTGAAACGTTCCATAACTCAAACATGCACCTTCGCATATCAACTCACGGTGGCCCAGTTCTCTCCTCTTGATGGAGGAGAAAACAGATCACATGACCATCCTACAGCGTCAGATAGATGAGTGGGTCCATGCAGTCAGGCCCCGGGACTCATTTGAGGTGCACGTCCCAACCCTATCCAAACAGCTTCAAAGACTCAGGTCTGGTCCTGCTTTGGTCCAGGAGGGGGCGCTGTTAGCCATCCACAAAAAACACAGCGATCCAGGGAGGGTGGATAACAGGCAAGCTGCAGCCAGAGCCCAACAGGAGGTGCATTTTCCTCTGCACTTTTCACCTCTCGGAGCACATGTCCATGATTCGCCCACAAGCAGGGATCTATGACAGCTTATATCCCAACGCAGAGATTTTTTTTCCTTTTGGCAGCTTCCTGGCGAGCAAACGCGCAGCGTGACCGGAGAGAGTGCCCCAGATAGCTCTTATCGGCGGGAACGCGGTGATCCGGAGCTCCCCGACGGTGCGTCCCGAGTGATAACACACCCGTACATCACTGCCCTAAGCTCACTCTGACGATAAGTGCACCCAAAGCAGCACGAGGCAGCTTCCCTGTGCCGGCGATTCCCAGGTGCTAGAAAGTATCTTTTTGTTAGCATTGAAGCCTATGGAAAACATGTGTGGGAAGGCAAGGGGGGGGGGTTAGAGGAATGAGACAGAAGACGACTTAACGTGACGGTGGGGTCCCAACGTGCCGAGGCAGGGGCGCACATGTCTCACCGAGAGCCACACAGCTTCTTAGCAAATCCCATGCTCAGGCTCCACCTCCAGGCCCCCCCACCCCCCCAACCCACTCTCCCTCCCACACATGGCATCGCCGAAAGCTCTGAGTCGGAGACAAGGAGGTCAAAACACATGCAGGAGTAAAGCCCCCGCCCCAGTACACAAATCTGACGTTCCCAACATTCTGCACCATCCATACCCCCCCCCCCCCCCAGGTGATCAGCACATGTTCTGAGCAGCTGAGCGTGAGAAGGGAGAATCACATACCTGGACACTGTCTCTGTCTCTTGGTGCTCAGCTGAAGATCTGGCGAGTCGCTTTGGGGGAGCTGCTCATCTGGAAGTGGGCGGATGTGGCAGCGATGAGGGAGGGGGGGGGGGGGGGGGAACGGTGACCCCCTCTGCCTCTTGCTCTGTCTTATCTTCTGGCCAGCTGTGAAAGAGTCGTGGGCATGGCGATGTACTGCCGGCCGGGAGGAGAGACACAATAGGTCTACAGTATGTAGCGCCGGGGCTGTTCATATGCGTGAGTATGGGGAAGAGAGAGAAAGCGAGAGAGAGAGAGAGAGAGAGCGAGAGAGAGAGAGACGTAGTAGTGAAGGCTAAGAGCAGAGGAAGAGAGCGAGCAGAGGTGAGCGACTCAACTGTTTAACGGAGTGCCGTCACGCACCAGGTCCCTCGGAATCCCTCCAGTGAGAGCGGGCCTGCATCATCCGCTGCTCGGCCCTGATTGGCCCAGAGCTCAGGAGATGCCTGGAATACAGAATCCAGAGGCAGTAAACCGACGTGACCCTTTCATCCCCCATTAGTATGCGAGGCCAGCTCCGGCAGCCGGGGGGCACCCCGTGGACAGCGACCGGCGAGCGAGCCTCTCTCTCCCTGAGACTCAGGCGATGCCTCTGGGACACCTCCGACGCAGATAAGCGTCCCTGGGGGGTTTCACCGCGGAGGTGCCTGCGAGGGGCATGTCTGGGGCGTGTTTTCCCACGGGCAGGCTGGGAGCGATTCACCAATAAGACAGGAGGAAAAACAACACAATCCCTTTCTACGTGGGAACGGAGGAGGAGAAGGTGCAATCAGCTCATTCTCATGGAGGTGAGATGAAAGGTCATGTGGGAGAAGATATATGAATCCATATGAGGGATTGCATTCTGGGTAAAGGTGCATTATGTGTTCTTGAGCTGCAGTATCACTATTTGCATCTTGCCCCAGGGGTGATTGTAGGATCCATAACTCATATAGAGGGGCCAACCTTATCATTAGCCAATAATGTTTTGAATTGGTGAGTGACAGGGGTATGGGTGCTCCAGGGGCCAATCAGCTTTCAGCTGGGGCCAGTGTATACACCTTAGCTCCCACCCCCCTCCCAGTTCAAGAAGCTTCCCCACACTCACATCACCAATCGGAGCAGTGTAATTAATTACACATTAAAAAAATGAATTGCAGCCTAATAATACAGCAAATGATTCCTCACAGCCAGCTGTGCTTCTTATTGCCATTGGGATCAGGAGGCCTTCAAAACAACCTGTTTCTCTGCGTAACCCCCTCTTGGCGAGGAAAACGGGGAGGTCCTGCTCCTGATCCTGGCTCTCCAGGAGGATCCGGGGGGGTCTGACCAGGGCCGGGCGTGGGGCTCACTGCCCCCAGAACAGGCCTGAGAAACAAACACGAATGGTCTCTTCTCTACAACATTCATCAGGTCAGTTAAGCGCTGGAATCAGCAATTCTGATGATGCTCCTCATTACCATTTGATTTGTATTTGACCTAATTCAAGATAATGCTTAACTTTATAGTGACAATCAAGAGAAGATCAGGAGTTGTTCTCTCGAAAGACTGGAAATCATTCCGGAGCAGCTAATTTTGCTGACCAGGGAATGGTCCTCCTTCAGAACACTGGGTGGACTTGGGGGTGGGGGGATGTCCCCCTTGGTGAATTTTGCCAACCGGGGGGGAGGGGGCACTTTGAAGCTCGAACCTCAAGGGGGCCACAGTCGTTCAGGCAAATGGGCTCCAGGGTCAACCCCCCCACGTCCCTGTTGTAGTAAAGGACGGAACAACCAGGTTACCTATTGAGTAGAATTTTGTTTGAAATGATTTATTGTACACCAAGAAAATTCTGAGCAGAAGCCTCATGTGGTTCAATATTTTCATCCCCCGCATCACCTAAGTGTAAACTTGTGTTTTAAATGGGAGGTAGACAGCAGACTGTAAACAGACCACGGTCTCCGGAGAGCTGAAGCACGCCTTGTCCTCCCCCAGGGGAGGAGAGGTTCCCTCGGAGTTGCTTACAGATGTAGGCTGTCCCCCGTGACACTGGGCAGCGGTTGGCGTCGGTCTGATGGATGGCAGCTGACAGCATCCGCCATGGACCCTGTGCTCTGCATTCACGTTGCGGGCCGGGCTCTCTCGGGTCACTGCGAGGAGGACGGCTCCACCTATGAGACGAGAAGCCCCAGACCCACGACGGAAGGTAAGTGGGAAGATGGCCGCCCTGTCATCATGACAAGACGAAGCCCTGTGAGACCCTAGGTGAAGACCTTGACAGCTTGTCAGAAATTTCGCTAATCGCATTCCCAATGTCTGATAAATGCCATGCACAGCCAATTGGACGTTGCTGTCATCTGAGCATCTCAGGGCAAACCGATCTCATCGACTTCTCCTCAAGTGCGCCCCCTGCAGGCAAGACCGATAACGAATGGTGCATTCACACTTTGCGATGCGTTAACAGGGGCGATCCCCGAAATTCTCGTCACATTTGCTGTTCAATTCCATGCGGATTCCCTGAATACGGAAATGCTGCCGTCACACCAATCAGACATGATATCTCACTTTTGGGCCTGACGTTTGATGCATTAGCATAATTTACTTTGCGATTAGTTCCGTTTTTTCGCGTTATGTGAATAATATAGCTGCAAAGGACAAAGGCTCCGTTCCAGCCATTAAGGTACACCCATCACACTGAAGGCATGACTCAAAGAACATCGATTAGGTATGGCACACAGTGACCGTAATGGGAGGAAATGAAATCCAGAGGAAAAGGGAAACTGCTGAACGAGAATTCAGTCCCCGCTATAGAAATACTGCATTGCCGGCGGGCATCTGTCCACCTGACCTCAGGTCCGGGGGATTCTGGGTATTCAGCCGGCCAATCAGCTTCCAGCATTCTGGTTCAGAGCAATTATCCGTGGAGCTCCATCCGGCCAATCAAACTTGTTTCCCGCCAGCATTGTCCATTTCGAGCAGGCTACTGCATTTCTGTCGGGTTCCACCAGGGCAGGGACCCTTGCAGCACCCTCGGGGGGGCGTACAAGCACCTGGCGGCTTTCTTAGGGACTCATTAAGACCCTGTTACACAGAGATGATGAACCGATGCTGATTCAAAAAACAAGCTGTCATTGTACATTGTAACTTTCCCTAAACTTATCTGCCCCTGTCTAGTATCTGATGAGGAGATTACTGATAATTTAAGGTTACTTTAGCAGTTACATACCCAGGGCTCGAGGTGGGATGGGACAGGAAGGGGTGGCATCCCAGTGCATTTAAAGTTAAAGGACAGCCACCACCACAAAACCAGCTAATAGGATGTCAGACATGCACTGTTACATATTTATAATGGAAATTTGTTTTATTTGACTTTATTTTCATGTGTGATCAATCCCTCACCAACGCCTATCCCCGCACCATCCCCCCCCCCCCCCCCGAGGAAATTGATCAAGGTGCCCCCCTCCAAGGCCATCGTCCTTCAAATATTTGTACAACTCGAGCACTGTACACCAAAGCCTAGAGCTAAGAGTTACTAGCCTCCACAGGGCTGTAGTCACTAGCTCAGCAGTCCCACCCCCCCTCTCCTACTCGTCCTCCTCCCTGGAGGGCATGGGGGGGGACACACACACCATATTTAGCACCCGACATTACGGCTACCAGGCTCTCGAAGGCAGGGCTATAGTTAGATGCGATCACATGATCTTGGGGCAAACGGCACGGGGGTCTGTTGGCTCTGCAATGCCCCCACATGCAAGTCAATGAACCGCCCCCCCTTCTCTCAATGTGGACTGGGGGGGGGGGGGTTATCACATTTCCTGTCATACTCCTGCATTTTAAATAAAACTGATAAAATATATTAACCTGAAACCCCCAGAATAACAGACAGCAAACACACACGCACGGGTAAAGTTAAACATTCATTCTCGGAAACTTTTTCCAACTCGTTTGAAACCCCCAAAGCCTAACTTTCACCTGAGTGACTAAGGCTGCCCCCCCCACCCCCCTGACGATCGTGACTGTCTTAAGGCCAGTCCAGTTACGGAGGGTGTTTCGAGAGGAGTGACTACTCTGTTATCACGGTGAGTGACAGCATATAATTTTCACACCTGGCTCCAGTGATAATTTGCCTTATTGTGAAGTATAAAAGAATTTTTATCTTTACTTAAATGTCCTCAATTAAATACTTTGTCGGCAGCAAAGAGCCATTGTCGGCCTGGGCATGCCTGAGAGAGCACACATCGCCAGCTCTGTAATTTTCGTTACAGGTGACTGCGGAGGTGAACGGGAACGAGGCCGGCTGGCGGCCCCAGCCCTGCACGCCAAACCCCGCCACCGTACCCCGCATTTACCGGCACACCGCTGCTGCCACACCCCCAAGCCCAGCCCCTCTGGTTCTCACCAGCTATTCCAGCCAATCAAAGAAGACTCCTGTGAGGAAGAGCTTAACCCTTTACTGCCCTGGCAGAAAGTACTGGAACATCTGAGTCGGTGTGGCCATATCCAGAATCGGGTTCTGCCCCGAGGCTACCAGCACGACCTCACCCCCTACCCGTCCATTTTTAGCTGCTATATTCTGCTGTGCCACATGACATGTTATTTACATACTGCACTGTGCAGAAGTCTCTCCTAAATCCACCTCATTACTTGCAGCAACAATCCAATACATCCATGTAATATTTCAAACTCGACCACTACATACCATGCGCGGCTAATCAATACCTCAGTGAATTATTTAAGTAATAAAATAGATAAATAGCATTAAACATGTTTTTGCTGCCTCCCTCCCAATGGTCCTGGGGGAATGTGTCACTGTATACCTATATAAGGATGTTATATCAATAAAGACCATTGGACTCCTCTTGGCTTGACTCTGAATGTCTCAGGCTGTCTGTGCAAAAATTCTCCTGCTTCCACAGCACACTGAGAACTTTACCATTTAATCCTAGTTATTTAGTTAATAAGAATAAAATAATTCAGGAGAACACACTGGCACTGTCAAGCGCACTATGCAGTGCACTATGCAGTGCACTATGCAGTGCACTATGCAGTGCCAGGGAGGACAATGTCAGCATGAGGGGATCAGCATTTTTAAGAGCACAGACAAATCCCTTAATTACATGCAAATTAATTGAATAAGAACACTTACCTAATAATAATCAAAACCCATGTTATGTTCCCCAAGGAAGATTCCTCCCGTTGAAGTTACTGAACGTGCAGTGTTTTGCAGCAGTAAAACGTTAGAGAACAGAAGGGCAGGTTTTATTTGAAAAGCAGAGACTCTTTGGCCTCTTGAAAGCAACAGGAAATTTTCAGACGTACAGAACAATAACAGAATAAATAAAGCCGGTGGAAAAAAAAGACAGAATTTATACATCGGGGGGAGTGTGGGTTTTCGGGGGACAGGGAAGGTCAGGGGGCTAAGCTCTGCAAGTCACTGGTAAGTAACTACGTTGAGAGTATAAAGCAAGTGGGTTTTGGAGAGAAAGATCCGGAACAATGGCTCATTTCAGGGGTTTATCGTTTGGCTCGTTAATCTGCAAGCTGCGTGTTTTACCTCCCTGCACCCAGAAGGTGCCAATAAAATCTCCCCATCCTACCATTCAGTCTGTTTTCACAGTGTTATGCTTGCTCAGACATTGCAATATCGTCTACTGATAGAGCCTGACAAGTAACTGACCAAAGAAAAGATCTTTTACAAAGTCACCTATTTACTATAGTCATGTTTGTACTAGTTTACATTTTCCTTCATGTTTGTCATTTCTATGGATTACTTTATATTGCTAATTTTAGCATCTTAACATTTATAGCTAGATAACTATTTAACTAACCTTATTACTGTGAATGTGAAGCGAGGTTATTTTGTGTCTTCTTGACACTGACATGATTGCTTCATTGACGGCTGTATAAAGTGAATTCTATCTGTTTTTGGTTTATTTTGTGAAGTTTTTTCTGAGAAAATGACTTTTTCATGATACATGTTTTTCATTGGACAGCGATGATATTCTTTTTCTCACTTGATTGGCTGCAGGTTCAAATCTGACTTTCCCAGCACACGGACCATCAAACCGCAGCCATAACACCGTCCGCTGTGGTTCTGGAAGATCGCAGTAAGCTATTGTGAACTGCCTTGTTGGAGCAGCGTTCAGTGTTCAGGGCCCTAAGCAAAATTTCATTAACCTAGTTGTCATTTGTCATCTTGCTTTCCATTCTGACATGCTGATCATATGTGGGGGCCCCCTGGTGGCCACAGGGCCCTAAGCAGTTTACTTATAGGCTGCATGCATATATGCAGACCTGCCATTTCTATAGGTCATAACAACCAGGGACACTAGAAGCCTGAACTGTCAGTGCCCCATAATACAACTATTGCACACGCATTCAACAAATTTCCTTCATGCCTGCCCCCCACCCTACCTCCTGCCACAATTTCACTGGTTCATGGCACTGCCCTGCTGTAAAGACTATGAATTGCGTCACATGCAATGGTGGGGGGGGGGGGGGTTGATATTTAACGAACCACAGAAACGAGTACCAAGATGCATTGTGGGATTTTATTGCTTTTGTTAAATGAAAAAGTCTGCTTTGAGAATAGCGATGGGAGATTATTTTTCCTATTTCCTGGGTGTATTCAGATTTAACGAGCAGTCGCCCTCCCACAAATGTGCAGAGAGTGTGCGAGCACCCTGAATGAGTCACGACATGGAAAGAAAGGGAGATTAATCCACACCCCGGGGTAAGCGAGCCTGCCACCTCACTTTCCGTAGGGCCTGAGATCTGAGGGCTGCACTGATGCTAATGCATCCAGATAGAAAGAAGCGTCTTTTCTATTCTGTCTTCCGTTGTATAACATTCAGGTAGGAGCTGAATGCTTTTGTGCATCACAATTGCTCATATTTGCCACTGACCTCCCAGGTTGGGGGTACAGAGTCTCAATGACCACACCCCCATCTCCCCTGATCTCCCTGTGGTCAGAGACTCTTTCAAAGCAATGAATGGGTCTCAAATAGCTCCTTAATAAAATACAAACCCTGCATGGGCAAACAGAGGGGAATAGATTTCTGCAGCTGTATGTGACAAAGCTTCACTTACTGAGACCGTATTTACAAGGGGGCCGAGAGTCTCACGCCACCTTGTAGAAATGCTGTATAATTCAGAAGGCTTTGCCTTAAATGAAACCCAGGGGCTCTAAAATAAATGCAACAATCTCAAGTGAGAACTGGCTAGATAAAAAATGTATTAAAAAGAACAGATCTTTCACAGAATGTGAAGGCTTAAAAGAGCTATTTGGCTCTGATGATGTAGATGAAGGGAATGAATTGCAGATGTCACACAAATTAATTAAGTCCGGTTTGAGAGAGATCATGTCACTAGAGGTAACTAGTTAAGCATAACAATCCTATACTCAGTAATGTTAATTATAACAATGGAAATGTATGAAAGTTACCGGTAATTCGTTTTGAAATAATAGCCATTCATAGCAAAAACCTTAGTGCAAAATGGAAATGATGTATGCCTTGTGTGTTTATAAGGAAAGGCAATTTAATCATGTCGCTGGCTCTTGAATGCACTGGTGTGGTTGGAAAATAATTTGAGGATTTAATCTCAATTGCTATGGACTTAGAAACAATAACAATGCTAATTTCTCGATTAATTTGTATTCTATTTCACCATTTAGATGTTCACTCGATCATACAAAGGAATCAGTCATAGCATGGCAATTATTTTTTTATTGAGCAGCTGCAAAAATAATGAGGGGAAAAAAAATTAAAGCAAAGTTGTTGAAATTAATTTTCTTTTCATCTTCCTTTTAAGGAATTACATTTGGGTTATGAATCCAATTTAGTTCCTGTGTAAATTGTGAATGTACGAGGACTGTGCCCTTCAGTTAATGAATGTTACTTTCACATTTTTATTATTTTCTTGAAAGCACAAGTGTTGCAACAATAAAAATGTTTTTTTTTTTTTAATCTGTGTTCTGAATTCCATCAATTTAAAAACATTCTCTAAGTGCCTTTCTCCCCTTTTAATGTACAGATCAGTTTCGACCTTCAGAACAGTCTTGGGTACCTGCAGAGCCAGTTGTGAGTCCTTGGTCACATGGAACGCTGTCACACAGCAGTCTCACTTCTGATTGGCCAATCGGTGTAAGGATTACAGTAGCAAGTCTGCATGACATCAGCATTTGTTTTTTTGAGGGCGGCGTGCTGAGGCCTAGCCAGTACCCATCAATAAAGAGCTTTCCCAAAGTCAGTCAATCAGATGCTGATTCCTGGCATTAAACTCTCTCACCACCTTTCAATTAGGCCAGACTGACTCATACAAATCGAGAGAGCGACTGTTATAAAATTAGCCAGTAATAACCCCCCCCCCCCCCCATTTATGCGACATGACAGTGACTGGCAAGCGATGCTGGCAGAGAGACAGCAGAGGAGTTTGGGGGACGTCAGATCCCCACATGAAAACCAACCTGTCAGTCCTGATGAAAGAGTTTTGACACCGAGCAAAATGAGCACGATCCTTAACGATCTTTAACGAGCAGGCTTGGTCGCGGGAGGGCCCCACGGTGTGCAGTCACAAAGCCTGTCATGGGGAGGTTAGGCTAGATCCTGATCTGGGGGAAATTATATAAACTACCTGCCACAACCACCCACTCCACAAGGGGGCGCTAAAGTCACTTCTCTCTATTTCAGTATGTCTTGTACTTCAGGGACTGAATAAAAACTACTACTATAATTTTATTATAATTTATAGTGCTTTTAAGAATCACTTTTTGCTTTGATTAATTGATAAAACCAAGGTTTAATGTCAAGTTAGTTTGACTGTAGGTCAATGGGCCACAAACCTGGGTCAGAATTTGTAGACGTCCAGCCACTGAACAAACATGTTGACCTCAAATGCATTACACCCGTTTATCACTTTTATGTGTCGTGATGCCATCTTTTTCATATGCTTGTACATTTAATGCACCTAAGGAGTGGGATGGGAGGGGGCAAGTGTCTGACCAATCAGAAGGAAGGGGTGGGGCTTGTAAAGCTCCAAAACTACTGCATACAACGTACCTTCATAGACAGAAATCTCCTCCAGGACTTTGAGAGTGAGGCTAAGTGAAACGAGCAACGTGTTCCACGGAGGGGGGCGGAGATAAATTCTGTGTGGAACGGACCCCTCCCCCTCTCTGAGGGCCGATTTCATTGCTCAGCCTCCCTGAAGGTCACATGACTTCCTCTTGGAATCGTCAGAAGCTCCCATGAGCAGACGGGGCACTCTGCCTGGGGGCTGTGACAACATGGGCTCCCTGTGAGCACACAGAGGCAGATCTTTCCGGGCTTTGAGGGGGTGTGGGCTGTGGGGGGGGCCGTCGTTTTTGCATCCTTCATCCCAACTGGCTACTGCTTCCCTACCCACCACATTTTCCTATGTGCTCCCCACGACTTGCAGGAGGGAAGCTATTTTTGTGGTGTCAGTTAAGCGCTATAAATCCCCTCGGGGGGGCAACTGAGATCCTCAGAAGGCCAAACAGCCCACACCCTCCCTTTCCCTAGAGCACTACAACTGTTACGTCAGGAGGAGACTGACGTGGCCGAGGCAGAGTGGACCAGACCCCCCTCCCCATACGCACACACACTGCCCACCCCATATGCCCTTCTCTATGTGAAGAAGCCGTGAATTCTGGGCCAACTTTCAGTCCCTCCCTGCCACTCGATCTCCCATCATCCAGAAAATTCTCTCCCTGTGGAGTGCATCTTTGTGCTGTTCTCCAGCTCCGTCACCAGGTGACCTTATAGCAACCTTTATCAGGGAGATGGTGTCTTCACGCACA